TACTAGTCTACTACTACTAGTCTACTACTACTAGTCTACTACTACTACTACTACTACTACTACTACTACTACTTACTACTTACCACTTACGACTTACCACTTACCACTTACCACTTACCACTTACGACTTACTACTTACTACTTACTACTTACTACTGACTACTGACTACTTACTACTACTACTGCTAATACTACTACTACTACTATTACTACTACTACTACTACTTGGCCGGCCGCTATTTGGCCAGCTGGCCGGCCGGCTGGTCGCGAAATAGCAGGCCGGGTTGCCCCCGCTGTCAATGTTCAGGAAATCAAACTTTGTAGCATCTCAAATAGCAAGAATTAGTCTAGTTACGCAACAGCTGTAGCTGGTCCCTTTTCTCGCGCATTCCAGGCCCAAAGATGGGGGCCAACTCTACGACGTGAAAATCGCGGACTTTGGTTTGTCAAAGACCATTGGTGGTGGCGCATCACTGGCACGCACCCGCGTGGGCACGCCGCAGTATTGGGCACCCGAGGTGCCGCTCTTGATCATGTTTTCGAAGATGCTGCTTGCATGAGATAGATCCTTTCGTCATGTCCATTATACATTAATTACACTCCCCAGAACTTACAAGGAAGTATATAAATCGAGGAAGTTGCCGACCATGTAAATGCCCCAGGAATATACCAGCAGGTAAGCCCAATCAGCAAATGAGGAAGACTGAACAAATAAACATATTCATTAACAAGAAAGCTGACCTTCCCCTGCATCCCTGGAGAATGACCAGGGGAGTGGAGAGAAGATACACTTCCAGGTAAGCCAGGGTTGCCTGCATTTTATAGTTTGGGAGCTAACAAGGAAGTGTTTCCCAACCAGAAAGTTGAACGAGGAAGTTAATTAATTGAAAAACTGCTTCCTCGTAAGTTCTGGAGAGGGTATATGCAGGAGGGTTTGATTGTGCGACCATGCACGTTTTAACCCCACCTTTGCTGAATAATTACTGTAGCCATGCTTCAGTACTCACATTGGCATTTTCTGCCTCCACTCACTATGCATCAAAAGCTGTCACAACCAGGTGCTGGATGTGCAAAAGAGAGGTGGTTCCTATGATCATGCTGCCGACTTTTGGGGCCTCGGGGCGGTCCTTTTCGCACCTTGGCATGAGCAGTGTGCTCTCATGCAAAGCAGTGACTGGCCCGCGATGCCTCAGGGGGATCAGAGCTTGGAAGTGCAAAATAAGGACATCATGAGTTTGGCCAAGTAGGGTGATGACCAGATTTCACATACTGCATTTACCCATTTAAAGAAAAATGCATGCCCTGAGTGCGAACTATGCTGCAATGTTTTGTCAGGTCATGCTTTGTGGACGCTACCCCTTCGATGGACAGAAGCAAGCACTGGACGAGCAAATTCGAACCGCATCATATTGCATGTCAGGCACGAAATTGATTCTTGCTCAGCGTTGTTGAAGTTTTGTCGAGCATGCCCCGGGCCCCACAAAATACAGTATAAACTTGGGCAGAGCGCTGTGACAGAGGCAAAGCGTACAGAGTTGATCAGTGTTGCTTGAAGCTGCTTGCAATCGGTCAAGGCTCTCGCTGGAGGGGCATTTCTGAAGCTGCAAAGAGCCTGGTTCGTGGACTTTTGCGGGTCAACCCAGTGGACAGGCCACCGGGCAGCTCACAAGACAATATAAGACAATATGTTTTCTTTGCATTGTGCTGATTGAGAACCCGGGGGGGAGTAGTCCTGCCTTAACTTGTGTTAAACTTTGGAGGACAAGCCCATAAAGGAAGGAGGAAAATCATGTTGGTAGAATTGTAAAAACAGGGACGTGCCAGTTGTGTACCAGTCAAGCATGTGGTTTCAAAAAAAGGATACATATACACATATGTATATATGTATATGTTAATCCTGTTCATGTATTGGAGAATTCTGGACCACGTGAGTCAGAAGGTAACATCGTTGACGTTTCTCGCCAAGCAAGACACTGTAAACGAATTTCGTAGCCTTTGCAGGCTCTCCCTAGAGGAGTGCTTGAAGCATCCGTGGGTCTTGGGCCAGCCCTTGCCACCTAAGACACGGCTTGAGCCTCCTGTGAAGTGGGTCCTTCGGCAGAAAGATTTGCATGGTTTTTCCTTGTTGACTGTCGGCGTGACAGATTTTAACAAAGAGAAGCAGCATCCCCACCCTCCTTGCTTACCTTGGCGCCTTCTGCTTGTCGCAAAAGGGATTACTGTAGATAATCTTTCAAGATGCTTCACGAGAGGAATCTCGTGCGCTTTCTACGCTTTCTACAATTGCTGTTGCGATCAGTGATGTTGCATGACCTCAGCCCCACAATCCAAGGAGCTAGCTGGAGAAGGAAGGCATGGGATGGCGGCCATTTCGGAGAATTGTGCTGAGGTTCCCAAGCAGGATGCTCGGGAGCAGGTCAGCGAATGGAAGATGCAATGTGTTGCAGCCTGACGGCCATTTTGTCCTGTGCACCGCATTGCAGGACACGAGCTTTCCAGAAGAGGCCGACCGCACAGAGCCCCTTGGATGGATGCTAATGAACACAAGAAGACACCACAAGTCCAAACTCCCCATCCCATCAAGCAAATAGGTCCGACACCCAAGAAATCCAAGATGGGGCGTTGAATCTTTTTTGGGATCAACAAGCCATGTGTATCCCTGAGTGGTTTTAAAACAAGCTCGGATCATAGCGCTTTTTGCTTAGGAACATTACATGGCTTCACTCAGACACGTGCTGTAGCACTGAAATATGAAAGCCTGGAAACCTAAATGTTCCATATCCACAGGAATGAGAGACCTTGTTGCCTGCCTCGGGGTTCCAACACCCAGGCGGGCTGGTTCCACAAGCTGCTGCAGCGTTTCAGATTCCGATGTTGGATACCAAGCCTTTGATTCAGCGTTCTGAAGTGCACGAAGGCATTGCAGAGATACTTTCAGCTTTTCGCCTCTCTCTGTCTGAACAGAGAATCAGTAGATAAAACAGTAGATGAATCCAAAGGTTGAGGAATTGCTGCTCTCCTTTTGAAATGCTAGAATCGCTTCTACCACCCACTCTTATGCAGGGACTCCGGGACCTCGTTTGCCCCTTCTTTTGAGGCCAATGTACGGGACGCCCCCGACATCCCCCGACGTTCCCAAATGCTTGCTATGAAAGAACTGACTCGAGAGAGTTGCCGTTCAAAAGGCTGGTGACCTGCGGGTTGCGCTCTTGTTGTGCATGATAGAGATCAACAGCTTCAGAATTGCAAGCACGCACAGGATGAATTGTGTTTTTAGTCAATGAAAGGGAGAGGAGTGACCAGTGACCAGTCAATCTGTGACTGGACAATGTCAATCCAACCAAAAAAGTTGTCCATTGAGAACTTTTGTCATTCCAGTGTAGTCTTTCTTTGGCGCTAGAACGTTACAACTCGATAGAGTACCTTTGGCCATACGTTGAGTGTTTCACGGGTGGAGCTTGCACGATGCACTCTTCCGAATGGGGAGCTGGCTTGATTATTTTATTCATGATTGGGAGCATCGTAATCACTGTGCTCTTCTACAGCCAAGGAAAGAGCTGCAGTAGAGTTGCCTCTCAGCTGGACTTGATTGCACCGACTTGCACCAAAAGATGCTTCCAACCAGTGGGGGGTGTTTTGGGGGAGTTCCTTGCTTAGATTCTCCATCCAGGCAATTATCTAAGAGTAAGCTGTCACACAAGAAATGTGCTGAGCGCATGTAGTACGCCACAAAGCTTACGAACTTGCGATTCTTATCGATTCTTATAATGTGTTGCAAGTAAGATCAGATTCAAAGTTCAATCTTGGAAGAAAGGCACCTGATAGGTCTAAGGATGGGTGCCCCTTAAAAGTTCTAGGAACCGTGTCCCTTTTGTCCCTTTTTTCAAAAGCCAGTCAGAGAGTTGAGGGCGCTAGTAAGTAATGCAAGATATGGTTGGGATCGCATTATTTTTGAACAGAGGGATGGATGGTGGATAGATGGGTGGATGTGATGGATGAAGGGCCGACAGGAGGGAGGATACTAGGGAAGGAAGGACGGCTGGATATATAGATGAAGCAGCATGAAACCTGGGGATCATGATGATAGCTGGCATGCTATGATCTTTATGAGTTGGGATCTAGGGTAGTGATGGCATGGGATGCTTGGGGAGGGTCGGATGGATAGATTGTGGGAGCGTTTGCGTGCGTTTGACATGAATTCTCGAGTGAGCAGATGAAGGTCTATCCGGCTCCGTTTCGGGAGCGCTAGAGGTTGAAGTTTCAGCCTCTTGATGGGCGAAGTCTTGGTCGCCGTTTGAACAGCAAGTGTTCCTTTTTGAGTTGAGGTAACTAGAGGTTTTCATTCTGACGGTTTTCTTTGCTGGTATGGGTTCCGACCCCGTTCACCCTCGCGTTCACCCTCGATACCCCTTTGCAACTTGTGTGATTTATGTAAGTAAAGTGTCCAGAGTAGGGTCCAAAGAGATGTCAAGGGACCACGAGGAGATTAACATCATTGCTAAATCATTGCGTTTCCATGCAGGAAGCTTGTTGTGAATACATGACACTTCTGCTAGGGAAGGAATTTCAGAACACATCAAAACCATTGCCAAATCATTGTGTTTCCATGCGGGAAGCTGGTATTTGCAAGAACTATGCTGGGACCCCCCTCCTGGCGTCGCGTTTCCATTGGGGGACCACAAGCTTTTTCCTACTATGCCGTGACTTCCGGGGCTGAGTGTACGCGCCAAGTCCTTTTTAGGTCATTTGCATGCAAGTCTTGCGGCTGGAATGAATAGGTGTCCGTACTGTGCGGGTTTTCGTTTTAGTTTTCTCAAGTTTGTCCTGTCCTTGCTACTAAGCTACCTACCGTCCCCTGCCTACAGCTAAAGGAAAGGGACAATGTATTGAGGGATTTCAGCCTTCTGCTAGAAGGTGAGTTCCCCAAGTAGTCCAGAAGACGCCACGGGCACAGCCGCGTGCAGCGTCAAGGCTGGGAACAGTGTTTGCTTTCCTTTTCTGTGGCATTCATTTGTTTTGTTTTTGTTTACGTTCATTTTGTTAGACCTTTGGGCTTTGGACTCTATCTTGGCAATTCGTTTTCACAACGGATTGTCGTAAGCACTGGTGAAGAGACTCCAGTCAATGCAAATTCATGCATTTTGGAACAGTTTCTGGGCTCCTACATTGTGTTGCACAGGGCAGTGGCTTCAACTTGGCTCCACTCTTGGCATTCTTCTTGGGTCGCAGCCTGACTGCACGATGAACAAATGTTGTGTGATGTGTCCTTCGCTGGTGTCAGTCCCGTCGCTGGTTTGTGCAATAGGTTTCATCAATGACATTCCTACCCCCGCGCGGTTTTCAGGAGACGGGGCTAATTGAACATTTTGTCCATTTGACATTGTGGCCATCAGTGTTAGTGTTGCTGTTGTCGGAGCACCAATCTCAGAATTACAGCTTGTAGCGGCAAGATAAATCAGATAGCACATTAAAAGCTACGAGTCTAGAGCGATGCAGCTCTAGCAGATTCTAGAAGGAGTGCAAGTACACAAGACCAGAAGTTTGATTCAATATGACACTGCCAATAGTTCGTAGTACCAACTTGTTGTTTAAACAAGTTTAAATATGTCTAAACAAATCCCAAGATTTAAGGGCCAATGTTGAATGACTACAAGCAGAAAGGGGTCCTGGACTTGTGGTTTTGGCCGAACTTGAGTGGACAGTCGACAGTGTTGAACATGCCATATCCAAGTCAGAAGCTGGTGGTGGTTTGGAACAAGCAAAACTTTTTGAGAGTTTAATGCTTGAGTCGGAAGTGAAGCAGATGCTACGGGTTCATGTGCCCCAGCGGTAGGCAAAGCCACAAGTCCTGCCAGATTTGAGTTTATTTCCTGAGGACCGTTTTCACACCGTTTCACCTGAGAGAGCAACATAACATGCGGCAATGCAGTCCAGGTAAAGACTTCCGCTGTGGCCGCTGGCGCTTGGCGCTGGTACTCGTGTTGGCATTCGCCTTTTGGGGATGGCGGTCGCCCCGTGAGAAGCTGGTTGCAGGGGAGGTGGGCCCTGTGACTTTGCAGAGACCAAACCTGTAAGATTCTTCAACATCGTTGTTATGACACTTCTTGAAACACTACTTAGAGCTAGGGTGCCCCATTACCAGCAACAGTCGTTGAGAACACTTGTATTTGTAGTGGATATACCCAGCTTAGAGATACTTAGAGCATTTTTTGATCAAGCCAACTTTAGCGATGTGACATGCGGAGTCCAGACTTTGTGCAGGGCATGCCGCTGATGGGACGGACAAACGTGCCGAACGCCCTTGAAAAGCCCAGCCACTTCAACAACTTGAGTGTTGAAGGCCAGGCTTTGATGCTTGCGTATTGGATCACAGCAGGTGTACACACCGTAAAGGTAAAGGAAAATGAGTGGACATGAACTACAGACACATATATACACACTGTCATGGCAAGCTTGCTGGACGATGACAGTTTCATCGGGTGTTGCAGGGGATGAGCAAAAGTTGCTGGCGGCCATGGATGTTCAAACGCCTTTTTTCTACATGGCTGGCTTGGACCCACCAACCGCCGGGGTGCTAAGTTGAGAGCCACCACATTGGTGCATATATAAATCCTTGCAGTTGTAGATCCATTTGCATAGGCAGGTGTGAACAAGCTCCCACATCAGGGGCGATCGCTAAGTGGTTGAAACGTGCAACGTTTTGTACTATCAGAGTGGTAGCACCATAAGGACCAATTGCTGCTGGAAGCTTCCACGAAGGATCCCTACCAGCACCTTTGGCAAATACCTGCATTGCAGTTGAACATAGTTGAACCTACTACTTCTGGGACGTAGCCCAGGAGTCACTTTGCTATGTTTGTGCGGCTCGAATGTTGTGCAAAGTCGAATTGACTGCAGCGTATGAAATGAGCCCTCAAGCCCAGGCATAGCCTGTTCAGGCTAAGCGAGTTGCTGAAGCTGCAAATCTCCATCGTAGGCTGCGTGGCACAATGTCCGGAATTCAAAATAGGAAAAGGTAAGATCCAAGCCCTTTCACGCATAATATACTAAAAATGTCAAGAGTCTTCTTGTTGGTAGAGTGATTCTTCAAAGTGCACGGGGGGTAATGCTCATGATCCTCCTTCTGAACCGTTTAGTGCCGTTCACGTTGCTGGTGTGGCTTGCGAACGAGGCGGTTGCCCTTAAACTAACTTTTTCTTGGAGGTGGTTAGGCTAATTGCAGTAGCCAGGGTACAAAGTTTTGCCTCACACCTACAACAGCAGGGGCATCATGGCTGATTCATGTTGACTACCACTTGCTTGGTTTGACGAGGCGAAGAGGCAAATTAAATAAGTCTACTGCGGGCCCTGTCTCAGGTTCTTTTTCTACTGTCCAAATCTGTCAATGGTGGCTAGTTAGATGCACGATTTTGTCACAGCTGCTCCAAGGGAGGCACTGAGTTCATGCTTCTACATTTAGTATGGTTCCGTATCAGAATCAATTGGAATTTTGCATGGCGAGGTTGACAAGGTTCATGGGGTTCATGCAACCAGAAGTGTCTTATCTTGCGATTTTGCTCGACAAAAAGGCTTGAAACCGTTAAGCACTTGGCCGGCTTGCCACGAGGTTCCTTGGAGTTTGCCAACATGGCAGTGCGCAATGTGGATGCTGAGCTGGCGGAATCAACGCGAAGTGCCTACCAGCAGGCGCAGACGAAATGAGGGCGTCCTTTCGGGCCCCGCTTCAAGGATTTCGCTCGTTGTGGCGACACTGGCAAACTCTATGACTCTATGACTCTGTTCCACAGCCTGGGATTCACCAATCCTTTCGAGCGGTTCTTGCTTTGCGGGATTAACTTCTTCATCCGCGACCACAGCCGATCCAGCTTCTGGGTGCCACAGATCATAATCTTCAACAAACCCACAAACGAACGTCACTGTCCCCCCCTCCCACCCAGATGTGAGTGAACATAAACATGTTTGTGAACAACCATGAAAACAAAGTCAACATAAAAAGGCCCTAAACGCCTCCCAGCGGCCTGTATGGCCGTGACACCACCAGCAACAGCAACAGCAACAACAAGGCACGTGGCTCGCAAGCAGCGGCTCATAGTGGGGGCCAGCGGCTGAGCAGCAGGGAGCGCAATGAAGCTCCATCCACCCCCAAGGCTTCCCCAGCTCAGAGTTGGAGAGTGTTGGTGATGGCACCTATTTGTCTAACGGAGGAGGAGCAGGAGCCAGAGCAGTACCACTCGCTCCTACGCTACAGCCGGTACAGTTTCATCAATGTCATAATGTCACCACACAGCCACCAGCCCTGGGTGTTAAGCAGGGCCTGAAAGTGTCCTGCTGCACTGCTTCCTAAGTGGATCACAATTATTGATCCAGACCGGCTTGGAACGTGAGACCAAACAAAAAGAAAGGCAGGTTTGTGCTCCTTCTGAAACTCCAGTTTGCCACCAGCCTGCGCAAAGCAACGTAGTCCTTGTCGAAGGGCATGAAGGACATCACCCATGACCTGAGTCGCGTCAAAGCTGTGCCAGCCAAGTTACCTAGGACGTGCGCAATTTGCTAATGTATAGGTATAGATCATGAAGCAGCACTATCGAACTGGAAGTCGCGCAGCGGGCAACGTTGTCCAGGAACTAATCCAGGAACACTGGCTGGATCTCCTTGGGGGAGGGGCTCGATGGCAGAAAGGAGTCTTCCACGCCAACATTGTTGCAAAACCCTGAGGAAGTCCCTCCAGCGAGCACACGCACACCTGACACCTGGTGCAGAAACACAATGGGTGTTCCAGTTGGTGTGTCTTGTAGAAGTCGACGTGTGTGCGTGTGTGTCCACTCCTGTTTCCAAGGACACTACACTAGCTCTTACTAACTTTTCCTAGGACTTTCGTGACCATTGTACAGAAGCAGGGGCGTGTGACACTCTTATCCTATCACATGCAACGAAGCTGTGGATAAGAGTGGGAAGGGAAACTTGGCCAGTTTCCTGTACCTGCACCAATTGTTTAACATATTCTAAAGAGCTAATGCATTTTGTTGAAACATTCAATTGAGCGGACTTTGCACTTCATTTCGTTTCGTCAAGTCAAGGGCTAAGTATTCGTCTAAAGGGCTAATGCACACCGCGAAGCAGCCTGAAATCGTGCTCCACGGAGCAACCTTCTCAAGTGTGTCTTCGCAGCTTCTTCCCACTATGGTAAGCTGTGTGATCCCTACGGGGCGCCGTTACTGCAAGAACCTTTTCACTCCTCACCGCAGGAGTAAGTCTTCCTGAAGATTTTCTGAAGTTTACCCGACTGAATTTTCCTGTTTGAAATCAGCTTGATTGGAATGTCTCACCTGGCACACGTGAAATGTTACTGCAGAGTTCACTGAATTTTTCACTGAAATATACTGCAGAGTTCAACTGAATCAGTTTCACACCGGAGAAGTCTTTTCCAACTTTTAATTTTTCACTGCGCCGATTCGGCTTCACTTCGCTCATGAGAGCATTTACCCCACCCTTCACCCCCTGCACCTTTTCTTGTTTTTCTTTTCTTTGCCTTTTTTTTTCGTTTGTTCCTTCCTTCAGGCTTTTTAGGTATTTTCCAGGCTCGTTTAGTCAATGCACACCCAAACACCCCTTCACCCCCCTGGCAGGAAACAGGAGAGAGAAACAGAAAAAGAAAAAGAAGAAGAAGAAGACGAAGAAAAAGAAAAAGCAACCAGACACACATGGACCCCCAGCGACACGCACCTTGACACCAATACAGTACATGGTCAAACATTATTCCGCACGATCCAGCCAACACAATGGTCCAGAAAATACAATCTGGCAGGACAGCCTGTCTTGGACATCTTTCCTTGGCAGCTCAGTCGCTTTGGCCTACAAGACCACAGCCTTCGTACTTTCTCCCAAGGACGGTCCACTGGCATCGTGACCACCAGGTCTATCGCAGAAGCAGTATTCACCTCACAATTGTTGCCAGAGATACGAGCCCACAACCTGGACATTGACAACATTGCTGAATTTTTACACCAACAAGCTAATCAATCCATTCCAAACAAAACGACAGATGCCAAACAATTTATGCAACCACTCATTTCCCGCAAGATTGACTTCCTACGAGGCCTCACACCACCCGCAGGCGAAGGTACAGCACTCCGAAAACTTCAGCTACAGACAGATCGCCTACACCAGCAAGAGAGCGAACTCCAGCGAGCTCGCGACAAATTGAAGACTCATGGCATTGCACTTACACCAACAAAACCAGGGACACACCCCGCCACATCATCAGCTTCCCAACCCCATCTCCCACTTACAGCCCCAGCCGCACTCACAGCTAACACCATTCTCAACCCCACCACTCAAACACTACAAGACAACTCACCAGCCAACTACGCGGCAGCAGGCATTCAAAAATGGCTCAAGACACTACCACCAGCCACTCAGACACAAGTCACCAATATCCAGCAAATTCTTCGAGATGAACGCATCACCAAAGAACAGCTCCAGGAGGCAGCCACACGCTATGGCATCCCGCTCACCCGTGTGCTTAAGCTACCACCACGTTCACTACAGCAGCTGGTGGCAGCGGGTTCGGCATTAGCCGTCTGACTCGCTCAACAAGCGCTGCATCACCCAACACATCTCACATCTCACTTTACAATTCTTGACCACACTTCACACAGCATTTTTACACTTTGTCCACTTCACACCCTACAATGACAAGACCCACGCGATCTTTTCCATCAGTCTTGACATACAATCCACCGGCACTCCCATTCAACACTCCCACAACGGTCGACACTACATCCACCACCCACAACAACGCACACTCGACACTCAACACATCCCCCTGATAGTACAACAAGCCCTTCAATCATGCATTTTTCAAGCCTGCAACACTCACTACAAGCAAATCCAAGGAGCAGGCATTGGCAGTCAACTTTCACCAGCACTCTGCAACGTAGCAATCACCGTACGTACCTGGCAAACCACATACCACACCTTTTTCCACCAACCCAGCCTTCACTTGCTCAACACACGCTCCGTTGACACCCGCTATATCTTGCTAAACGAACAATACAGATCAGCGCCCCCATCACTACACTGGCCCATCCCGATTTTATGTACACCCAGTCGAAATAGAGCCAGGGGACGACGACCATTTACTCGGTTGCCTGATTGATCCACTCACCAGAACGGTCACCTTTCAACTCCCCACACATCCCTGGCAGATTCATGTTCCGCAGTCAGCGGGGAGTCACAGACTGCGCCTTTCAGGCTTGCAGGCTTACAGTCACGACACCACACACTACGAAAATACACATTTCCACAGCAGCTCGCACCTACCACAGCACAGCAGTTGATGCAGCTCTATATGCCAAAAGGTCATTCAAAGGAACACTGTGCCGCGGCGCTGCGGCCACGAGAAAAAGACGATGCGCCAGCAGAGTCATAGTACCTTACTTTACAATTCCTTTTTCGACGTCTTGGTCTTCCATTATTTACACTTCAGGTATTTTCTGATCCGATTTAGTTGCGCCGATTCGGCTCTTTGTGTGTGTCCACTCCTGTTTCCAAGGACACTACACTAGCTCTTACTAACTTTTCCTAGGACTTTCGTGACCATTGTACAGAAGCAGGGGCGTGTGACACTCTTATCCTATCACACGCAACGAAGCTGTGGATAAGAGTGGGAAGGGAAACTTGGCCAGTTTCCTGTACCTGCACCAATTGTTTAACATATTCTAAAGAGCTAATGCATTTTTTTGAAACATTCAATTGAGCGGACTTTGCACTTCATTTCGTTTCGTCAAGTCAAGGGCTAAGTATTCATCTAAAGGGCTAATGCACACCGAGAAGCAGCCTGAAATCGCGCTCCAGGGAGCAACCTTCTCAAGTGTGTGTGTCACACCCTGTTTCCAAGGGTTTCCCATCACCTCCACGTTCCACACCAGCAGGGGGACACAGCATTTCACTGGGACTGTGTCCAACGAAGCTACCAGTGAAATGGGATATCCAGCTTGGCCAGCTGGACGTACCTGCTCGTTCTCTCACAAGCTGTTACCCTACTCTTCCACGGTTTGATTCATGGTCCTTCATGATACGTCCCACAAACCCACCGCCGCCTTGCGCCGCTTTGCAGCCGACTTTGAGTGTCAGATCGTTTTTGAGTGCAGCTGCAAACATTGTTCAACAATACGGTTTTCGCGGATTCATGCGCCTTTCCGTTCCCTCACCTTCCTTCCCATCGTGGCAATTGAGTCTAACTGAAAACAAATGTCAGAGTGTGAGCCGCTCAGTCTTCCCACTTGGGTGCTGGGTGTGACCCTCCGAAAGGAGGCGCAGAAACCATTCCGGATTTCACTGGTCCTTCATTTTTATAACTGTTTTCCCGCTCGTTCATTTCTATCACTGAATTTACGGATTTTCGAGCCGCCGGGCTATAAACGATGGATTCCCTTATGATTACCAGACTCATTTGATCTTGCATTGCCGCAACGTTGTTTACTGCTTTTCCCAACTTTTTAACCCGCAGCCATTTGATCAGCTTCCACATGTTTTATGCCACTTCGCATTGCATTTTCACACCATGAGTTCACCTTACCTTTTCTCACTACAGATCCACCAGAGCTCAGGAAACAACTTTTTCGGCGATCCCGTCGAATTGGAAACTGTGGACGACTTTCACCTTTTGGGCTTCCACATCGATCTCCAGCAACGAACCTTCACCTACTTGCAACCCACCCAACCCTGGAAAATCAGGGACCACACCAGCGCCGGTAGCCAGCGCTTGGCTCTTTCCGGCTTAGCTTCCAGACTCCACGCCATTTATACATACACTTTTCCACCCCACAACGCCACAGCTGCGGCAGAAGCACTGGTCCAACTTTACGCCCAAAAAGGGCGCGATCTGCAAGTGCGCAGGCGGTTTTTGAGAAAAAGGTCCGTTTTTCCACTGCTTCGAATTCGCGCCGAGTTCGGCTTGTTGTCTGTGTCACACCCTGTTTCCAAGGGTTTCCCATCACCTCCACGTTCCACACCAGCAGGGGGACACAGCATTTCACTGGGACTGTGTCCAACGAAGCTACCAGTGAAATGGGATATCCAGCTTGGCCGGACGTACCTGCTCGTTCTCTCACAAGCTGTTACCCTACTCTTCCACGGTTTGATTCATGGTCCTTCATGATACGTCCCACAAACCCACCGCCGCCTTGCGCCGCTTTGCAGCCGACTTTGAGTGTCAGATCGTTTTTGAGTGCAGCTGCAAACATTGTTCAACAATACGGTTTTCGCGGATTCATGCGCCTTTCCGTTCCCTCACCTTCCTTCCCATCGTGGCAATTGAGTCTAACTGAAAACAAATGTCAGAGTGTCCACACCTGTTTCAAAGGAATTTCAACAAGGCAGGGAAACGGCGCGAATCAAAAAAGAGGCAGGGGGCAGCAGGGAGTCCACAGTTCTGCTGCCAACGAAGACAGCTGTGGATACTCCGCGAAGCAGATTGGGACGCCAATCTAACTCTTTCCGTTTCACCCAATGTTAAACCATACAGTTGCAGCTGACCCATTCACCTTTCCGTTTTGCAAGTCCAGGTTTACAATGCAGCGGGTAATGTAATCATCTAGAGTGGGACTTCATACTGATCCTAGCTCTTGCGAGCAACCATCTAAGTGTGTATCGCCACAGAGTCCCACTGAGGGCTGTGGTGTGATCCCCGTCGAGGGGCGCCGCGTGTGCACAGACCCAGATCCTGGGGGATCAATTCCGATTCTTTCGTCTCTGCTTTGGGACTTCACTCTGAAATTCCCTTGGTTGCCTGTTCTTCACGATACCACTGATACTATGCCGCAGGGCTCACTGAGACTTACGCTCCAGTCAGGATTTGCACTTTCGGACATGTGTCTAAGCATTCACCTGTACAGTTTGCTTGATTAGGTAATTACAGCAGGCATGTCAAACCACAGACTGCTTTTTGTTGCATGTGCTTTTCATGCTCTTGGGTTCTTTCTCTCTTTCTGTTGCGTTTCGTTTCTTGAGGCCTTTTCAGGTGCCTTTCAGACAAGGTTGCGCCGGCCCAAATCGGCTTTACTTGAACGTCAGTGATGACAATGCCTTCGGGCCACCCCTCCCTGCCCCTGGCCTCCGTTGCTATCCCACCTGCTATCTAGGGTTATAGAAGGAAATCGCACTCAACACACTTGTGTGTTGGTGCCTTTCCTTCTATTTCTCCTGTCCTACTTCTAGCTACCCGGGCGGTATAAGACAAAAGTCCCGCTCGCTGGCTTCTGCACGTATTGTAACTAACAGACCTCATAACTAGTGGGCCTCGTAACTACACCTATCTTTCTCTCCTGCCCTCTTCGGTTTCTCTTTCTGTCTTTTCTTTTCTTTTCTTAGGTGACTACTAAATTTTCTGAGCGCCGAAATCGGCCTGGTGTGTGCATAAGTCCGCACCTGTTTCAAAGAAGTGTTTAAACAGGCGGGAACGGCTAAGTAATCAGCCCTCTTCGGTTCTCTTTCTGTCTTGTTTTCTTTTTCTTGCTAAGGCTTGTTGGGTGACTACTAAACTTCCTGAGCGCCGATAGCGGCCTGGTGTGTGTGTGTCCACACCTGTTTCAAAGGAATTATTCAACAAGGCAGGGAAACGGCGCGAATCAAAAACGAGGCAGGGGGCAGCAGGGAGTCCACAGTTCTGCTGCCAACGAAGACAGCTGTGGATACTGCGTGAAGCAGATTGGGACGCCAATCTCTGCACCTGCAATTTAACTCTTTCCGTTTCACCCAATGTTAAACCATACAGTTGCAGCTGACCCATTCACCTTTCCGTTTTGCAAGTCAAGGTCTACAATGCAGCGGGTAATGTAACCATCTAGAGTGGGACTTCACACTGATCCTAGCTCTTGCGAGCAACCATCTGAGTGCGCCTTGGTCTTTATACAAATGATTACTAATGGATATAAATGGTTTTGGAGCATCATGCATTGCACCTTTGGCTGTCATCAAGACACTGATTCGATCGAGCCAAGCACATGAGAGTGCTCCTCGTATGCAATGTTGCCACAGCGCCACTATGCGCCACTTTCTGAGTAAGCTGAAGTCCTAATTTCTTCTTACAGCAGGGCTACATGTGCAGGCGTTTGTTGGCCTGTTTGACTGTTGCCATTTAGCGATCCAATGATTTCTGCTCAATATTGTGGTGGTAAATTCATGTAAATTCAAATTATGGAACATTGATTGGACTTAATGCCCAGGTATTGGACATTCGATACAGTCGGAAACGTGTGCGCGTTCCAGTTTAGATCTTGGAGTTTTGATGCACCAGCCATCTGAGCTTTGGTGCAGGATCTTGGTCTGAAGCTTCTTTACCTTTTTCCTTGCCAAGGTGCAAACTTGTAAACAGCGGTTGCTTTGGCACTGTTGACAGTTAGGCCAAATGCAGCAAAGATATCCCACACGAGCCTGCACAGTCCCAAATGAGACAGAAGGTCCATTTCACTCGAAATGTTGCACTGGAGCAAGCAGTCATCAGCGAACAATGATAGAATGTCTTCCACCAGCTTGCCGGAGCGCAGTGGTTGGAGGCCATCGCTATTAGGTTGGAGGCCATCGCCATTAGGTGGAGGTCATCGCTACTACATAGAAACAAACTAGAAAAGGAAGAAAGGTCAAATCCGCCCGCATCGAATGTGCTGAGGCGTTGTCTTAGTTCGCGTAAACCGCTAGAACTGCTAAATGCCTCGTTAAGCTTTAGCTTGGGGGGTGTTTTTTGCTGTAGAATGCTGTGCTTTGATTGTGTTCAAAAGCCGACGAAAAATGAGCGAATCATTGGCGATGTTGGTTCTGCTTCCCGAGTGAAAATGCATTATTGACATCGTGTGTGTTTGTCGCTGTGGCCTTCCCGAAAGAGAAACGATAAAACTATTGATAATGTAAGTTATGGTGCCCGAATGGAACTGCATCATTGAAAGCGTGTGCATGTTTGCACCTGCGAATTTCCCTACTGAGCTGATTGAGTACAACACGCCTAAGATAGGTACCAGTGTAGTCGATAACTAAGACACATCATCGGGTAATAGGGGGACGCATCAATCACTGCGTTCCGCTCTTGTTGGAGACGTGATCTTGACCGCCCTTGATCAACGACCACAACAGCAACAACTCTGGCAACAACGACCACAAAAACAACGCGTGTTTTCCCAGAAGTGCGGGCGGTTTGTGAAGTACCATCATGGACCATGGTACTCTCTCCCCTCAGGAGGGGGGGGCTAGCATTTGCATGGAAGAAAGGCTGCGACACATGTTCATAGGGTCAAATGCCTTGCCAGGCCCGAAACCTCTTCAAGCAAGCCGCAGAGGTGGTGGCCAGATATGCCGAAATGGCACAGCAGGTGAGCAACACAGTGCTCCCCGATTTGCAATTGGCTGTGGACGAGCAGGTGGCGCTCTCAGTTCCAAGTGCGAGCTGGCACATGGTTGGACAGAGGTGTGAGCCAGCTTCAGCAACAATAGAATGTTGGTTCCTACAAGTTCTCACATCAGAGGCGTGGTTGGACGGTCAGCTGGGACATGTAGCGGCTTGAGAGGCTGAGGGCATGTGCTGTATTCAGCATCAAGGAATGCGACGGCTAAACCTGTGTATATGTATTTGTGGGTATTTAGATTGTATACCCATATACACATATACACAGCATATGTTCTTGGGAGTCTCCATGTTCCCCCTGGAGCAATGGCAACACGCCTTTGCTTTGGACCAACATTGAGCCTCAAAGGAGCCGGCCTTGGCAGAGAGCATGTTGGAAATGCTGAAGAATTGGGTGACTGCAGCTTGGCTGTAGAGAGGAAACTTTGCCAGTGGCTGACTACACTAGCATGACCTAGCGAGAGACCCAGTCAAGCTGATTCTAGCACAATGCGTCTTAGGACATGAAGAAGGACAGCAATGTGATCCGAGCAAACTATGGTGCACTGTGCCTCGGTTGAACCTGGTCAAAATCGACGGATGCTGGGTTCCAGCTACATGACCAGCTTCTAGCACGCTTCATTCTGGTGCAGTATTGCAGTAATTATGCACTATAGGTACGCAAAATTGCACTCGGGACTGGTTACACTACACGTGAGGTGCGTGGAAAGGTAAATTCATCACCTCCCAAGGCAGAACACCATTGGTTCCTTAGCGGATCGGGCGCAGCAGAGCAAGCAGCAGGCCGATGTGATGCTTGGCAGATTGATCTCAGCCCACAGGCAGCTATATACATATTTATGCACATATACAAAGGTGTACAGACCAACCGGCGGTGTCAGAGCGTCAAGAGAGGTTGGAAAGCTTACGGACAAGAGTCTAGATCTGGAACTTGAACTACCCTTGCCACGACAATCAAGAGTTTCTTGAAGGGTGTGCTGTTCTGGACCCATTGCCCCTTTCTAGAAATACTAATCTCTCATGCAGTGTTTTTCAACATGTTCTGGCTCAGGAAGTTGGCTCGAGCTGTGGCCAATGCTCAGGCGACAGTCCCCACAACTTGGACCTCCCAAGAATTTCTATCTCCACAGTCAGTTGAGGTTGGAAAGTTGAACTTCTTGGATGTAGGTAGAGAGAGAGAGAAGAGTGCGGGAGGAAGGAAGGGAGAGAAAGAGCGTGAGTAAGAGTGAAGACACGCACTCAAGAGTCTACAAGAGAACCAGTGGGCCTTACCATTCTTTGCTCAGTCTTTTTGTTCTTGTTGTATTGCAGCAAAAGTCATCTCAGAGACTCCCAGATGCCGTCGCAAGGCAATGCTGGACCGTGAGAACGCCACCAAGAAGGGCAGCTGTTCCTACGCCCAACCCGAGCAGGAGCAGCAATTTCAGGCGCCACACAGCATCCCTAGGCCCTAGGCTCACGCTTGACCACATAAATTAATCAAAATAGATGTTCAATTTCATGGACACATCGACACCCTTGCAAAGCGCAAGCAGCTAACGCTGAAACGCATGGAAAGTCATACCCGCAATGGGTCAGAACAAGCTTAAATCTAGCCCTTGAATACAGAGGTGATGTGAGCTTGCCATCTCTGATTGATAAGGTCACAACAAGGAAATTGCTTCATTCGGTAGTCCAAGGAAGACTATAGAATAGTTACTGAACGCTTCCCTCTTCAATGCCCTCTATTGCCCCTGGGTTGGCAGCCGTTTCCTTGCTCAAGCCAGTGTGTTTTGAAGGAGTCAGAAAGTGAACGAGATTGAGAGAGGGGGAACGCCAAAGTTGATAATGTATTCTGACCAAATATGAATCTGACACTGTGCTAAGTGCAAGGCCGCCTCAAGCTGCCCAACGTCCAAAGATATAGCAATGTCGCCAGCATATTGTGATGTGGCATCTCAGGAAATGTTTCTTCATTCTTTTGCCGATTGCCGTTTTGACCTGGTTCTGGCTTTGCCCTGTCCCGCTTTGGGAAGCAACGCCCTCTAAGCCGGATGTCGAGGTAAAGCCATTTGCCAAGGAGCTGCATTTCCTGCTTTTGATCAATGACTTTTCCACCAGAGCTGACACCAACTTCGCACTGCAGCTTGCGCAAGAGTTGGTGTCTTTGGGTCACCAGGTTGTGCTAGAAAGCCCTGTCGATGGAATGCTGCTGAAAGATTTGGAGCCTCAACCTGGACTGGTCGCCAGAGTGAATCCTCGCCTGGAGACAGTCTTGTCAGGACAGAACGATGCCTTTTGGGATGCTATACAGGGTGAGCTTCCTCATTTCATTGTTTGCTTCTCCAGCTTGTGGAACGCCTCACTCTACCGGCTTTCAGACAAGCATCCCGGAGTTCGGTTGGTTTGGTATTTCTACAAGCCACTAGCATGTGACAGCCCGAAGGACCAGGGTCACGTTTTTGTGGCTATTTTGTGTTTTATGTAGCTGGGTTTAACTTTAATCATCCCTAAAAACCTAAGAACCAAATGAATAGGTGGAGGGAGCTTCCTTGAAGAAGCGTAAGCTATCCTACGTCCATATGTAGTACCTAACCTACCTTACCTCTACACGGCCTACCCCCGCAACAAAAATAGAATAGTAAAGAATGATCATGTTGTCTTACAGAGCAAGATAGAACAAGAGTTCGATGTCCCCTGGAGATAGAATTTTGTATGTATATATACAGTATATATATTATATGTATATGCTTTTCAATTGGGCCCAATTGGGTGAACTAGACCTACATCCTTTCCATCGTTTGTGCCCTCTAGTTGCAGTGCTAGGCTTCAAAGATTTTCCTTTGATGTTGAGTTTGTGTGTATTTTTCCCCACCTGCAGAGCTCTTCTCCTTCTGACCTCAACTGCAAGTGCCAGATCGCAGTGGGCACTGCCGGACCTCAACTGCAAGTGCCAAGATCGCAGTGGGCACTGCCGGACCTCAACAGCAAGCGCCAGATCGCAGTGGGCACTCCCAGACCTCAAC